CTGGTTCAAAGCCCATTGAAGTCAACAGGAGTCTTCTCACTGACTTCGGTGGACATTGGAACAGACCCCTAATGACTAAATAAAAGATGTAGTTATGAGTCTTATTTAAATACCAAGGAGTCAAACACAATTTTATTATTTTCTTTCAGCTCAAAGGCTTATCTTTAACTTTTTGTCAGTGACATTTTCCCCTGCATTTGTCAGCCTTTCTCACTAGCAAAAACTATATTGATTCCTCCTTTGCCAAGCAATCTCTTGGATTAATTAAACGAGTACAGGTTAGGGCACTGGATGGCTCAAGGAACTGATAATGGGGCTATCTAAACTTTTTACCTCCCAATTTCCAGTAAAATTCAGTTTTGCAAAATTCTATTCGCATATTCAGGCAGAGTGAGCCATCTGTTTTGATGGGAAAGCAAAATGTCATTCATTTTTTCACCATCATCCAAGTAAGGCTGGGAGAGCAGAATTGCTCCTTGCCTGGCCAATCTTCATGAGAGCTTCGCAAAGTTCATTTAAATGCAACCCAGTAGAGTAGTGACTGAAAGGAAATTAATTTCTATCTAAAAGGTGTTGGAATGTCTGCAAGGAATGAATCAGTGTTCTTAATCTTGTCACCAAAGAGTATGTGTCCATATCACTATAGCCACCATCACCACATTTGGCACTAATCAGCAATTTCACTAGTGGAACCAAAAGCTAAATGGATGTTGAGATTCAACTACCCTTCCAGAACAGAACTGGCACTCTAAAGGGGCGGTGTAAGAGGAATGCGGCACTACACTGATCATACTGTATCCATTCCATGGTTACATTTAGGACTCTGAGCTCCAATGGTGTTATTCTGGCCCCTGTGGTGAACAAATAATTCACATGCAGTTTTTTAAAGAGGAAAAAAAAATCACATTGGTTTCATGCATGGGTTTTTCAATTTTTCAAGTGCCACCTGCAATAAAGCACAATTATATAGCCATGGGTCCAGGACACAAATTATGGATCTGGATCTGAAATCCTCTCAAGTTCAAGGGTGACTGAATCTAAGATTTTTATTTGTGCCCATCTCCAAGTCAGACGGACAAGATAATTACACTGTACCTCTTCCCCAGCACATAATAATTCCTTTGTAGAATATATCATAATTGAGCAGTTGGTTCTGTACAGTATCAGGCGATGTTGAACCATTCTGAGTCATCTGATGTTACTCATCCTGTCTGTGAGCTCCTTCTGGCCTCCTGATGCTGCGCCCACACTGTTCCCCAGAGGAGATGATCACAGAGAGAAACATCAGCTCCACTCTGCACATGTATGACATTAATCACTGCTGACTAGTACGGCTAATGAAGAAGAGCTCTCTCTCTCTCATGTTTAACCACGTGTGTACCTTGCTACAGAATAACATAGAGCCAAAACTAAATCCTAATAGTAAAAACAAACAAAACAAAACCATTCTTATTTACCTGGACTGCTTTGCAACAGCCAGAAGCTGAAAAAAAATGTCTGTTGCTTTTAAAATAGTATGGAACTCCCCTTTCACATAGACCTCTTTTTAAATGTTATCAGCCAGTTGTAGTGTAACCCTGCTCAGAATACTCAGAAAACAGTAAGAAGTGGTTTCCACCTAGGGGGAAGGGAATCCGTACAGATACTTCAAGCTTTTTCCATTGCTACCCAGCAAAATAGTGTCCCTTCATCTCACATGCCCCGATCCAGGATTGGGACTAGTCACATGTTTAACATTAACAATAAACTGTATTAGTGCTTTGTTGGATCAGGGCCAAAGACTCCACCACAGCTCTCGTACTGACCTGAATGATGAACTCAGGATCGAGCCTCTGGGGTGACCCGTGGTACGCCAACACTGCCCACACCTACATTGTGAGTGTTCTAACCTGCAGGGGAGCTCGAACTGCTCAAAACCCTAATCTTTGACAGGATGCCAAACTCCTGGATTCAAACCAACAGAGTTATAGGACATCCTATGGAATTGAGGCAGACAGCAGTGGAAAGGCTGGTACATCACTAAGCTAGGGAGATGCTGCAGGAGACAGGGATAAAGAAGTTACTGTCTTGTAAAGCCAAAGCTTTAGACTAGGTCTTCACAGCAGAGTTAACTCAAGTTCTTTACACTCTAGTTAATTCCTCTCCAGTGAGAGCAACCACACTGTAAAATAACACTGGAGCTGCACTGATGACTGGGTTAACAGCACAAACTGATCGTGTTAGCAATTAGCAAGTGGCTCTAACTCAAGCGATAGCCTATACCCCTGATGGGCCAGCCAATCTGAGTTAAAAGAACCACCACTTGAGCTAAGAGTTTTGTCTGTGGATGGGTCTCAAGGTCGAGGCAACAGCCGAGTTATAACTTGAGTTACTTTTGCAGTGAAGATAAGCACTTAGTCTAGCAAATGCACTCACCTGCTTGAAAAGACTGGGACCAGCTGAGTCACTGCATCTCATGGTTTTCCATGCCTGCTGCCTGCATGGGTGGTTTTGTGTATCATAGAATATCAGGGTTAAAAGGGACCTCAGGAGGTCACCTAGTCCAACCCCCTGCTCCAAGCAGGACCAATCCCTAACTAAATCCCCAAATGGCCCCCTCAAGGATTGAATTTAGAACCCTGGGTTTAGCAGGCCAATGCTCAAACCATTGAGCTATCCCTCCTCCCCATATGTGGACAATTATACACATGTCACATAACCAACACCATTGCAGCTGTCTTCCCCAGGCCAAGAGGATGGATTCTGGTGGTACAGTAGTTACTAACCAAAGTAAGCCTTCTCCTCAAGGCCATTGGCACTTGTGCAAACCTGCTTCTGAATGTGAAGAATCAAATATTTGATTTTGCAAAAAACACAATTATGGCCTAACAATAAACCTGCCCAGAAGGCTTGGGATTTACAGACATTAGATGCCAATATTGCTTATTTATTTTGGATAATTAATGAACATAAAAATTGCTGACATTAGCCTGCAATGGAAAAACTGGTTTTAATGAACCCCATAAAACCTGCTCTTCATGGCAGCTTCATAAAGCTCCATATTGAGTTCAGCTAAAGGCTATGGCTTTTATCAATACTGTCAACCATTAATATTGACTAATAAAGGTATCCTGTAGACTGAGTCATTGCATTATGTTGCCGTACACATCTCATGTCCTCTGAAACATTTCTCCCATAAATCTGGGGTTTCTCAAAATAGCCTGCTTGATAGTTTAGGATATAGAAGCCTCGTTGCCAAAGAAGAAAAACCAACAACCTTCATATTTTCTAGACCAAACTTTTAAAATGGCCTCAAGCAGGCTTCCATCTCTGCAACTGCAGCATTAGAGATACAAGTCATTTGCTTGTAAAAATGTGACAAACTTTTATTTGAACAAACAAGCGACAGAATGTACATGCACATAACTCAGTTGTGTTCATTTTAGGCCTGCAGATAGCATGGTAATGAGAGTGATCTGGTAGATATGTATTTAGACATATGTGACTGTATAGCCTATCAATTTCGGACACCAGTGCTAACGTGTAACAATTTCACATGCAAGTGATTTTGATGTGCAAAGTTGCATTTGCCCCAATAGAGACCACATTATGGAAGCCTGGTTCCATTTTTTAAAGATGTTTTGCTGAAAAACACTCTAGGAGGCTAATGTTTTCCTGTGAAAAAGCCTAAACCTCCGTGGTTTGCTTTTCTTAGTGGGCATGAGTAAAAGAGAAAGCTGAAGGACAGGATCGCAACTGCTCAGATACCATGGGGAGGGACGCAGTAAAAGGACCAGACTACAAGAGAATGGAATAGGGATGTAAGGGTTTTGTTTTGTTTGTTAATTAATAAAGACCTAACAGGGTGCCCAAAGTCAAGATCCCATAAGTCACCCAACAGTTCCACAGGTCACTTAGTAAAACACTAGACAACATAGCCCAAGGCGGGAACTAAAACTGCTGATTTTGCTACTCCATTGAAAAAGCTCGCCTGCCATAATGGGTGTGACCCTGCTGAGGATGCAGCACTTAAGGAGTAAAAAAGCACTGTAAAGATAATGAAAAAACATATCAAATCATTCCTAAATCCCATTAACAGAGGGTTGTTATCTTTGAGCCTTGTCTAACATATATCATTATCACTTAACAAAACCTTAACAGGCCTCAGCTGTAATTTTGTTGGAATTAAACAGAAAATCATGTGGGTGGCGTACGCCTTACCCTGTCATGGCTTCCCAAGTAAAAATCATCATAATTTGTCACTACAATACTCGTATCAAGAAGCATAAAGAGAACAAACAATGCAGTCACTTCATGTCAGCCTTCTTTGCTGAGCCCAAGTTCCAGAGGGGCTAGCAGACTGCAGCTATATTAAGACGCAGCAATTAAATTAAAGGTGCAAAGGCACAGGGCTGCGTGAACACTAGGGTCAAACCACAATTGTATAAAAATTCTCTCTCCTTCCCACATGGACTCGCAGAACTGCTGACCAAAAAGCTCCTGCACCAGCCAAGCCCGCAGGAATCTCTGCAGCTGGGGAGAGAAGGCTACAAAAATAAAAAAAAATTCATGACCTTCAGCTTTGAGTTCCCACAAAGGAAAGGTCTCTAAAAATATTTCACAATCGCTTCCATCAGAGAGCAGCCAGCCTATTTACATAAACCACGCAGCTACTGTCAAGGAACCAGACAGGAAGGGAGGAAAACTATCGGCCCAAAAATCTGCACAAGAGATAAGCATGGAGGGAGGGGAGATTTCAATGCTTTTTGTCTGAAATGCTCCTATGAAGAGCTGATGGGGTATTACACGGCCACTTATTGATCTCCAGTTTGTGATGAATAAGTAGGAGCCCCTCTAGCAATTCATTAATTAATATTTTGTACGGCAGTGCAGAAGGCCACACCCTGGGACGATTAAGAGCATTTTCCTCCCTTCTCCTAGTCGGATCAAAAATCAAGGCAGATTAAAATTGGACTATGAAGAGAGGCATTTGTGAAGGCCTATCTGGAGTTGTCACTTACCAGTTTCAGTGTTTTCGTGTTCCGTATCGGTGAGCGTGAGGTTGGAGTTGGCTCGGCTCGAGAGACAGGAGCTGCGGCCTGACTTAGTATTACGTCCCCAGAGCCTCACCGGGTGCTCCGGCGACATGACGGCATCTGCCTCGGTGTCAGCGTCTGAGCCAGCGCTGATGGAGTAGCCGCAGTGAGGCAGCCCTATATCAGTCCTGTATAAAGTCCCGTGTGTGGGCATGGCGTCATCAAGGCCCAGCTCTCGCAAAGAGAAGTTGGCTCCTAGGAGAGAACATGGAATTGTGATTTTAATCAAACTGGAATATTTCTTCTGTCCAGCATATGAATGATTAGCGGATAAGCAGGTGGTATAGGTTTGTAAGGACAGGTTAGACAAACCCGTCCGGGATTGTCTAGATAATACTTAGTCCTGTCTCAGCGCAGGGGTCTAGACTAGATGAGCTACTGAGGTCCCTTCCAGCCCTACTTTTCTATGCTTCTATAGTCAAGTGCTCTCAGCACAAGAGCAGGAGACAGCAACTCCTGAATTCTAATCCCTTACCTGACAGTGACTTGCTGCATGGCCTTTGGCAAGCAACTTAGGCCCCAATGTTCAAAACTTGCTTCTAATGTTGGATGCCTGAGCTGAGGCACTTAAGTCTTGATTGTCAGAGTTGGTGAGCACCTGCAACTCCCAATGAAAACCAAGCCCTAGGTGTCTCAAGTCAGCCAGCCAGCAATTAAGGCACCCAAAGTGGCCACTTTTGAAAATGAGGGCCTTAACTCTTCTTCACCAGCTTTACCATTTGAAGAATGGTGATGATATTCCTTGCCTCCCGCTTCAGATATTGTGAGGATTCTGTGAGGCATTTGAACAGCACTATGAGAATGTAAAACACTAAGAAGATATTAACTATGAGCAGTGTCACTCAACAAGCGATGAGACACCTGTTATTAGTCCTAACATATGACTCTGTACACCGTGGTATAATGAACAGTGAATTTTCAGTCCTAGTGAACAAAACATGTCTCCACCATCTTGCCTGTAATTTACTATGAATATTTATAACAAACACACCAGCTACTTTTCATATTCTTTCCTGTGAGGACTATCGTGGTTCTGGCATTTCTTGTAACAGATTTCTTTCATCTTTGGTTTCTTGGAAGCTTTACTAACGCACTCATAAATAGCTGGTTTTGTCATTTACTTTTAAAAATAAATGGCAACTAGTCCACCTTTCCTCAAGAAGAGCTGGATAATGTTAATGGTCTTGTGGTTAAAGCACAGGACTGGGAATTGGAAGATGTGGTTTGCTTCCTGGCTGTATCACAGCCTTCCAGTGTGACATCAGACAAGTTACTTAACCTGTCTGTGCCTCGTTTTTCCCATCTGCAAAATGGGAACAATGTTCACCGCAGTAGTGCAAAGTATTGCGAAGGTATAAATAAGTAGTGTTCACATTCTCATGCATCAGGAAACCTCATCCTCAGTGAGCGAACCAGCAAATGAGCGAAGTAACTAAACACAAAGAACAGCAGCTGCTTAGCAGCACACAGAAGAACTACACAAAAATCCTACCCAGCATTTATACAGCGCCTTACAATGTACTTTACAAATATCAGTTAAGTTAACCCATTGAGAGGTAGCTGAGTTTTATTATCCCATTTTCTAGATATGGATAACAACAGACAGGTTAGATGACTTTCCGAAGACGACATAGTGATAAAATTCTTGCCTCTTTGTCCCCTCCTTTAAGTAATAGACAATAGCGCCTCGACCAAATTTATCCAGTTTAAAAGTAAAGGGAAGAAACAGGGGCGGTTAAGACAGACAGAATATAATCACTCCAAACAGATTTTGACCAGAACACCCCTGCTCTCGGGGGAAGTAACATGGGACGTTTACTGATCGGCAATGGTTAGGATTTTATTTTCCATATCCACTGATATCCAGCACTGTCAAATAGTCCTGGAGCACTGATTCAGTGCTGACTCAGAGGTGAGTGTGCCACTTCTTGAATCACCGAAACCACATCTTGTGGGACCTAGGTTTCCTTCGGAGGTCTCAGCTCCAAATGCTAACTACTCTCAGCCCAGCTTAGCTTATTCACTCTGACAATCACAGCAGAAGTTATTGGGCTGCAAATAGATGCAATTGTTTTGCTGGCTAAAAATATAACCCGAAAATGACTCCTGAGTTCATGTCTAGTTACCTGCAGAGCTTCATAATCAGTCCCAGGCAGTGTGAATGGGGATTCAGTTATTAGCACTCTGTTCAGAAACTTGTGCTGAAAAACTGGGGAGAGCAATTAGTGGAGCAATTACTGGCTCCATTCTAATCCACATTTTTTTATTAATTTACATTCTCTTTTTTCAGCATTCAAAGACTTTAAAAGACTTTGGCATCCCGTGAATGGCTTTATCTGCACTGTGCATTTACCTGACATAATGCACCCCTGCCTTTGCTCTACAGTATGCCACAATCTGATGGATTCAAGGAATGTTTTGGACCAGTAGGGGGCATTAGACCCGGTGTCTTGGCCAAACTCCAACTTGGGTAATTATATTCTTCCTAACTAACCTCCCTTGTACTTTCACTTGGATATGGCAGTTCTCACATCTTGTTGCTATGCACTGTTAAACAGTTACCATGTTTCACCTTAGAGATGGCTGAATTTCAGTTGTAGGCAAAGCGATTCTTGTAGAGGCCAGTCCTGATCTTTCTGCTTAGCCGAACTCTTGGGATACGTGTGTCATGCTCTCTGGAGCGGATCACAACTGTGAGTGTCTACCTCATGGCAGACTGTCAGAAAACAGGGCAAACACCCGACGCTCGTGGTGTGTTCTATAATTAGATTTCACCAAGCCAGTGACAAATGTGAACTCTTGGATCAGTCTTACCATGGAGTCACAGACAGTCCCCTTAGACACTCCAGCCTATCTTGCCACCCAGACAAACTGAATGCTGTGATAATGGTCACTTAAACAAAAAAATCACAACACATCAGGTTGCTCCCAGTCCCAAGACACCAGCCACTTACCCCCGATCAATTGGTACTCTGTATCTTACGCCAAAGACAAAACTGGCAACCAATTCTATAATGTACTAACTAAAGGTTTATTAGCTATGAAAAAAGAATGTGAGTTATTGAGAGGTTAAAGCAGGTAAAACACATGCACAGGTGAGTCAATGTTTGTAATTCCAAATGGTGGCAGTGATGTAATAAACAGCCAGTTTCCCAAAACATCTTTTCAGGGTACCCAGATTGTCTCTGGGGATCACTGCTTTGCTTCTGGTACACTTCTTTGTAAGAGTCCAAACAGTCCAGAAATGCAGGACCTTTCCTTAAATCCACACTTCTCACAGAAAACAAGCTAACAGTGTCACTACCCATGTGGGCTTTTCTTTTGACGATGGAGTGAGGAATGCATTTTAATGACCTCCGATCATCACACACAATGATCACTTGCTTTGAAATTAGCACTTTTCTGTTAAAATTCTTCATTTGCACTCCACCAGGCTTCTTTTTCGTTGGATGGGTTATTTAGTTACAGGGGTACACACAATGTAAATGTTTGCTACTACATTATAACGGGATACAGACAATTGAAAACAATGCAAGTAACTTCCTACTAGCTTTCATGAAGCTTAAAGACCAAATACATTCGCATACATTTGACAATCACTTTGATCTATACTAATACAGAAGAAAATTGGCCTGTGGCTCTGGCATGCATGAGCTGGCACCTGATCTGCCAGCATCACAGCGACTACACTGCGAAAAAAGCCCCAACAACCCTGCAGCAATGAGTCTCACAGCTCAGATTGTCTGACTTGGGCTCGTGGGGCTCACGCTACAGAGCTAAAAATAGCATAGCCATCCCTGCTTAGGCTGAAGCCCAGGTTTTGAGACATTCCCCCTTAACCAGGTTTCAGAGTCCAAACGGAAACATCTACACTGCTCTTTTTAGCCCTGTAGTGCAAGTCCCGCGAGCCCAAGTCAGTTGACCCAGGCTTTGTGACTCGTTGCCTGGTTTGTTTGGGTTTTTTGCAGCGTAACGTACATTTGATGACTTCAAACTCTCACTGGACATAGTTTGTACACTAAACTAGAAAAGCACTATCAGAAGTTCTGGAATAAATCTAAGATGGTTCTAATTATTACAGCCACCAAAATTTATTGGGGCAGAAAAACCTGTCTTATTATTTTTTATTATCAAAAGGGGCTAAAATCCCATATCTAAACTCAGGATGCAGATCCCTGTTCAGATGGGAGTTCTCAGCTCCTACTGGTTTCTACAATGATTTGAATTTGAACACATTAACCTAGAGACAGCTGTGTCTCGGGCTGGACTGTGAAACATTATGTTCAGGTGCATTCGGTTCTGCTCATTAGAGAGATACCAAGTTCCGCTCTGGACCTTGACTTTGGATCCAGGGCTGAGTTTTGCTCCCATCCCTACTCTAAAGCCATGTTAAAGCTTGCGATTTCCCTCAAGTTTCCATCTGTTGATGTTATACAAACTGGCCAACCCAACTAACAGCGCTGTTCTAAGCTGTACTCTGGGTTTTGTGGGTTACCGCTTAGCTGGCCCAGCAAAAGACCTCTTCTAGCAGGTACTCTCTCCTGCAATAACCTCTGCACAGTGAATGATCCACGAACCACAGGCAGCTGGCATTTTGTTTTTTCTTCTAATAGGGAAACATCTGCTTAATTCAGTTAGCTATGGAGCTCCCAGTGGAAAGAGGGAAGGGAGGAGGGTGCACAGAAGGAGACAGAGCGATAGACCAACAAACGTGACACCAGCTCCAAATAAAAGCCGAGAAAAAACTTTTCAGCGCGAGAAGAAAATAACCGTGGTTTAGCTGGTTGAGGCACTCGGGTCTGGAATGCTCAGAGTCCATAAACCGTTCGTGAACTTCACACCTATGTAATTAACTAAAACAGATTAAGCTTTCTGACAGAGTTGACAGGCAGGGATACTCGTGGCTCATCTGCTCCACCAAGCCTTGGGAGCCAGCTCAGAGAGCACAGAGCAAGCCTGTGATAAATTAATCCAGATACCACTGCTGTGCTATCATACCGGAGAACATGTACTCCTGTTCCACAACCTCAGCAGCAAGTGAACTTGAACTGACTGATAAAACAGATATAACCGCTTCTCCCCTCTCCACCCCACCAATTCTGCCTGTGGTCCAGACCCCACAGTAAGGATTAGGCCTACACTCTACGGTTCAGCAGACAGATGAGCCTTTTGTTTTTGTCCCCACATTGCAGATT